CAGACAGCTATAGCTCTCTCCTGCAGCACCGCTCTTGGGTTTGAACAGTCAACCTCGCAATCCGCAGCCCAATGCTTCACCCACAGCTCCAAATGAGTTCCTGTGACCGATGAATTTCAGGGACTCGTAACTTGCGTAAATCAGTTCTTTCCACCCAGTCTACTTTCTCTCCCTACATCAATCACATGTTGCTGCCTGCAATGGAAAAGCTCAAAATCTCCTTGGTTTATTGCACAGCAGCAGATCCTCGGACAGAAAGCCCAGGATTGGTCTAGCAGCTCCACAACCTCATCAGGGACCTAGCTTCCTTTGACTTTTATCCTATCCCACCGTTGTATGCTCATGAATTCCATTTGAATGCTTATAGCGGCTGCCTGAGCACCAAGTAGCACAGGAAGTAGAAGTAGTGGAAACAACAACAATAAAACCTTCCAGTTGGATCAGCCACCTTTAAGAGACCCACAGGCTCTCACACACAGCATTTGTATCTCATTGGCCAGAATCTGAGACATGATCACCCTTCATTCAAGAGGGATGGGAAATGATCCAGGTTTGATTTCAGAAGATGTGCCTTGTGCACAGTCCACAGCCACCATCTGTCTACCAGTTGGAGACTGGTGTGGTAGGCTGATATTGAACAGCTTTGAACAGAACATCCAGACTAAGAAGGTGTAGGAAGAAAGGCCTGTGATCTCTTGATGAAAGTCAGTCAAGGAAACACAATAACCTGATTCATAACAAATATTGGGGGTGACCCAAGACCAAGAAGCATTTCCTTCTGCTTTGCATGGGGTCCCCGTGAGCCAGAGGCTCACTCCAAGGCACCCAATAGCAAAAACAATCCCCCACATGGTCATGCCCAATGAAATGGGAGCATAATCTCTAAGGAAGAAGGAGTTGAGAGGACGATTGGTCTTTCTGATGCCGTTGACAAAATAGCCAGGTTTTTTTTTTACCCTCTGAAAGTTTCATTTTAAATCTGAGAGTTCATCTTATTGTTCTTTTCTTGATTTCACAATCTGAAACAAAAAGCAACAATCATGACAGAAGACAATGCACTCCAACTGGTTTGGGCAGGTTCCCAGCCACACCTTTGAACTTGTCAGCTACCCCCACTGTCACTAACAAAGTGTGCACACCTGAGAAGAACCAACGATGTGCAATCAAAAGGGCAGTATTTACCCAAGGACAAAGTTCAGAAGGGTTGGGAAAGATGGGAGAAGGGGAAAAGGAGGCACGGGAAGCAGGATAAGTGATGTTACAGTGAGGCGGTTGCAATGAATGGGATGAGACAAAATATGAAGGAGAGGGTGAAGGTAAAACTGCTTTTCTGCTCTGTCAGCCGTCCCCCGATTCACAATAAAAAGTTTAGAAACTCCTGGAGCACTGGCGTTCTGCCCTATGGGGTTGCTGTGAATTAGAAATGGACTCTCTAGCAGTAGATTGTTGTGTTTGTTTCGATTGCTAAAACCATCATAATTTTTCAGGTTAGATTTTAAGCAAAATTTGTAAAAAAAATTGTTGGATAGGTCTGACTAAAAACAAAGGATATCAAGATGTAAATTTTCTTAATGATGGGTTAGTAATATATTCACCCTCTGTCGTCCATCAACTCTGACTCACAGATCCTGTTTCAATAGGTGTAGGGTGGGGCCTGAGAATCTACCTTTCTAGCATGCTCTCAAGTGAGAACTATGTGGCTAATCTGCTGACAACACAACCCAAAAGTGAAGTGCCAACGTGAGGGTGTGATCCCATGAAGACAGTTCTCCAAGTTGAAGGTCGAGCAAAAGACCCAGGGGTCTTATTCACACACAGATTGCTTTGCCCCATCGCTGAGTCTGTATTTCAGGAGACCTGAGGAGTCGACCCTAACATTTGCATTTCTAGCAAGTTTCTACTTCATTCTAATGCCCAGCTAACTCACTGCCATCCACTGAGGCCCACTCACAGTGGCCCTGAGTCGTACTGTGCCTGTGGGGTTTCAAGTCTATAACCTGCAGCGGTTCTCAACCTGGGGGTCGAATGACCCTTTCAGAGGGGTCGCCCGATTCATAACAGTAGCAAAATGACAGTGATGAAGTAGCAACGAAAATAACGTTATGGTTGGGGGGTCACCACAACATAAGGAACTGTACGACAGGGTTGCGGCATGAGGGAGGTTGCGAGCCACTGCTTTAAGGGATCGGACAGCCTCATCTTTGTCCAGAGGCGTGACTGTCTCCTGAACATTGGCTGGTCTGGTGGTTCGCAGTCCAACTCCTCCTCCTGACCTCTGAGCTTAACCACTGTGCCGCCCTGGCTCCCATGCTAAGGATCCGAGTCCAGAAATCACACTTTGAAAACCACTGATTTAGAAATTTAGAGGATAGATCTCAAAGATATGAGGAATATAAAAATGAAGGATTCACTCGGCCTGACGTCCCCTCTTGTAACAGACGCTATACCCGTATGTCTTCATGAACGTGGATTTTAAGGGAGGCTGAGCTGTACAAAAGTCAATGACCGTGATGGAGAACTGTACAAAGGGCAAACTCAAACTCACTGACATTGAGTCCGTTCTGACTCAGAGCAAGGCTACATCCCCATGGGCTTCTGAGACTGTAAGGCTTCCGGTCGAAAACCTCATCTTTTTCCCCAGTGGCTGGTGGTTTCAAACCTCTGACCTTGGAATTAGCAGCCCAACAGTTAAGGACATACACGTTCTATATATTTTAGAAAAGGTAAAGCTAAAACAAAGCAATTCTCTCACTTCCACTGTGGACAACCAACAGTATCTGTTGAAGTCGATAAGTAAATCAATAAAATACTGCCTCACTGTTATGAGTTAGTTCTGACTCATAGCGACCCTGTAGCACAAGGTGGAGCCGCCTCCGTGGGTAGCTGAGGCAATCCTGACTCTTTTTAGGCACTGCAAAGCCTGGTATTTTGCTCTTAAGTTGGTTCCAACACATAGTGAGCGATCCTGTAGGAAAGAGGGGAAGTTGCTCCAGGTTTTTCAAAGATGAAGTCTTCAGAGAAGATTGTAGCTCACAAACTGCCATAGCTTTCCAGCTTGAGGCAGCTGATGGATTTGAACAGCCTAATTTTCTGTTACTGGCAGAGCATCTTAACCACTGAACCACTAGGGCTCCTTTCTTGAACTCTTAACCCAAGCCCATTGCCTTTGACTTGATTTGAACTCAAAAGGACCCTCCATAGACAGGGTTTCCAAGACTGTGAAGTTTTACAGGAGTAGGAAGCCTTCCTTCTCCCATGGAGAAGCTGGCTGGTGAGGTTGAATCACCAATTGCGTGATTAGTGCCTAACACACCAGTGTCAACAGGACTACCTGGTAGAAAATAACTCTGTGGTTGGCTAACATGACGTGGATTCCAGCTCATCGCTCTGCTATGTGCTCAGAATTGCACATTCCAAAGGATTTTCCAGGCTGGAACCTGGCAAACACAAATCACCAAACCTGTCTCCCAAGTCCCTTCCCGGTGGGTCTGAACTACCAACTTTTTAGGTCAAATCATAGTCGAGCCATTCACTGTCTGCATTACCCAGGTAAAAGCACACACCTCTGAGACAAAGCCTTGAACTTTCCTCTTAGGCTCACTGCTTCCATTTTCTAGTGTTTAAAAGAGTCCAACCATGGCAAGTGAAAAGTCCGTCAGGATAAATATTAGTTGCTACACACAGGAAACGAAACGTAAAATATTTTGAAATCCTCCATATTCTCTTAACTAGCCCTATGGATTTCAGAGACTCTAACTCTTTCTAGGACCAGACAGCCTCTCTTTCTTTCCACAGAAGAGCTGCTGGCTACAAACTATTGACCTTTCGGTTAGCGACCCAACACATAGCCCCATGGACCAGAGCTCAGAATCGATGTGATAGATGGCGGTGAGGGAGCCATATTCACAAACCAATCTAGACCAATGGGAAGTCATATTTGTTTTGAATATGTTTCTCTCTGAAGTTATGGAGTAAATATATTCTAACTCTAATTTGGTTTTATCAAAGGACATTTTATTCCTATTGAGCAAAATGCTCACATCTATAGAGACTAAAATCATTTATCTTCACAAAATTGTATAGGATGGATAAGTTTGTCACATTTGTTTTCATAAGGCTTTTTTTAGACACTTAATGTAGCTTATTTTTGAATAATCATTTTATTGTTGTTAATAGGATGTTTAGGTCATTTAAGTACGGTTTTTATATTTTGTAGACCGTTATTCTTTTATTTAAAAAGAAATGTGCTCACTTTATTGTGCTGGGCCCTGTTACTCATCAGACCCACCAGGTCAGGAGTTCAAAGTTGCCAGCCAATCCCAGGAGAAAGATGATGTTTTCTAATCCTGTAAAGAGCTACAATCCCCAAAACCCACAGGGGCCGTTCTAACCTGTCCTAGGAGGTTGCTATTAATAGGTATCAACTGGATTCTGCAGTGAGAGAGTGGGGCTCCTAAGCACAAGGTTGGAGTTGAAAGCCACCACGCACTCTGCAGCAGAATGCAGCAGCGGCCGTCCACTCCCGTTAAGACGTACAGTCTTGGGAACCCCATCCAGCATCACTGTGAGTTGGATTTCACTTCATGGCAAGGGTCTATGTATTCTCAGTAAGTCATAGATCTCATGCTCTGCTTCTCTTTGCTTTCCCCCATTGAAGGACAAGGGCAAAGTCAATGGTTCCCGTGTGGCCAAATATTACAGTGCTTCAGATTGATTAGAAAATTGGATAGAAAGGATTCGAAAAATGAAGCAATGTGTGGGTTGTTTCATTACTCTAATTTCATACAGGGTTTTCATGGAGTACAGAACTTTCATCACAAACTATAAAAAAAGGACTTTGTATTACTTTACTGTAATCATAAAATTCCTCATCCCTAAAACATTTTGAACATTTTCCAAATAGTACAGCATACATTTTCTGCAAGTAAACCGATGCTGAGATATCAACTTCTAGAAAATATTTTAAATAAGTTTAAGAGAGATTTAAAAGCACAGTGAGTTTAAGGAAATGTTTAATGAAGCACATTTATAAAAATTATATCAATTTTCTTCTACGTTGGTGTTCCCATGAAATTTCTTCACATGAAATAGTTTGAGATTGAATCAAGATAAAGAAAAATTCATTGTGCTTTCCCCACTTATCCTTGTCTTAAGTACAGAAAAAAAAGTCATAGTAATTATTGGCAATGGATTGGTAGATAATTAATTTCCACAAAATAAGTCCATAAAATACAATGTTTTCTTGATAAACATTATATCTTTTGGAATTTATAAACAGTCTGGTGAATTTTATTCATCATAAAATTAGCATTTTTATTTTGTATTTAAGTAGAGAATAAGTTTAAATTGCTTGAACAAGTTAAGAGACAGACTTCTACTATAGAAATACATTTTAATGGTATTTTGAAAGCATTTTAAATAGCCAACTTTGATTAATACAAATGAATTCCCCACATCTTCCAGTATTCGTTAATGCTTTCATAGTGTCTTCTCTTGTTGACAGATAAATCTAGCTTTGCCAATTGACAACACTTTACGTCTTGATATAAACTGCCTCGTCCACACATAAGCAAGCAGGTGAGAAAGATTAAGGCCTGCACGGACACATTAAGGTTAATGTTTGGCTAATGACATATTTTAATTGTTCAGAAAATATTCTTCACCTACATTCTAGGAAATAACTTATGGTGCTATTATGATTGATTTCTAAGTTCACAATAAAATTATACTCTCAAACATCAAAATTAGTGTCATTTTCATTTTCATCGCGTAAATCAGACAATAGATATAGCATTACCAAAATAAATTATTTGACTCACAATGGCAGTGATCCAAGACCTGAGCTCTGGAGGATCCTTGAAAAGGTAAGCAGTACTGGGAACATCTCCAAAGGGTGACAAATGTAGTGAGGAAGTATGTTCTTTTACTAAAGCAAAACGTCTACCTAAAAATACTGAGAACTCCTTCAATTCAGGCCCACTCAGCTAGAAAGGAAGCAATTTTCTGGCACCAAAGGAATAATTTTCCCCTTAAGCTTTGAGGAAAATATTTCATTTGCTTGTCTGAAAGGAACATTCACTTTTTGTTCACCTCCACAACACCCAGCTCTCCCACATACGCTGCCACAGCAAACGTAGTGCCATAAATTTTCAAGTAGGAGTTACAAGAATAGCAGAGACAGCCTTAAGAAAGCTTCCTGAGTCTTCAGGTAGGAGGTGCAAGATGGCAGAGTAGCTACTCCTAAGATGGAATATATATATATACATTTAAAAGGAAATTAAATGAAACCTTTATTTCTAGAAAACACTGAAGTTGCACCAAACAAGAAAATGTAAGGGGAGTCCCCCGTTTATATAAGCCTTATCTAGTCACGACTTGAAGTCTGCTTCCCCAAAACAGGAAATGCTAGCAGATGCCGCTAGCATTTCGCATTCAGTGAACTCCCTACTTCCCACTTACAGATGTTGCTCTATTAAAAGACACCTTTACTGCTTTACTGCCGTGGCTAATGTCCTAAATTTGGGTTCCAGATGATCAAGAAACTCAAGCCCCTCTTCGTCCTGCCGGTCACTGCAGCAGCCTACGGAACCAGCCAGGGACCCTTTTCCCTCATAGTTGTATGAACGAAGGTAGTCTTCGGAATGTTTCTGCTCCTCCGCTTGTCCACACAGATACACCTTCTGTACCAAAAAAAGAGCACATTTTATTATTATTTTTTAAAAACACCTAAACATATTAGCATAAAAATAATGTCTTTGATTTACCTTTTATTGTTTAATTTTTAATCAGAGTGTGTCCTCTAATGGATTCCTACATATAAAAAATGCACATGATTGGTCTGATTTATATTCATTCTTAAAATATAGCAAATAAATATATGGTCCTAGTGAACACATGTATGAAAATTACAGCTGCGCACACATCACACACTTAATGAAGAGCTTCCCATCTGACCATGAGATTTCAACCCTAGTTGAAGTCTACCTCTGAAGCATCGTCTTACATTCGGAGAAACAGCGTAAATTACGATTCTTATGTCTTTCACCACTCTGTAGCTAATCTGTGTTATCTATATCGATTAATCTGACCTTAAAGATAAGAAGGAGGAGCTAAAATCAAGAAGAAAAAGTTAAAAACCTGGCCACCCTTTACACTCCCAATGTGATGACCATCTAGAGGGCCCAGGAGCACTCAGGAGTATTTGTCATTCCATTACACATTTGCATCATTTGAGAACTGCACCTTACAACAAATACCTCCTTGTAGGTGGCTTTTCTGAGGCTTTCTGAAGAAGAAACTGCCCATCTTTTCTTTTTTTATTTATTTTATTTTATTATTATTATTATTTTTGCCCATCTTTTCTTCCTCCCTAAGTACATGCACCTGTGCTACTCCTAGACAGTGCTTGATCACCCTGAGTGGAAAGACAGAGCTTCGTGCGAGCGATTTTCTTTTGTGAGTTTGCACCTGGCTGGCATTCTCATCTATGCTAACTTGGCACGCCGGCAGGTAATATGAATTCTGGGTGTTTGAGAAGTAGAACTTTGGGGAAACCCTGACTTACAAATAGGATTAGACTTTCAGAGAAGATGAATTGAAGAAATTGGAACTTACTTCACCAAGACGAGGTTGGGTGAAACTATGCCAATCCGTGTATGCGTATCTGCCAGTGTCCGTTACCCCCTGCCCGACACCCTTGCAGGACTCCAAGGTTTGGTGTCCACCCCCTTGGTTGGACTCCATAGTGCAGCCTCCCTTCACCATTTCAAAACTTTGCTGTGTCTTGATTCCCTGGCCACCAACAGACAGGCTTGTGTCACAAATGTTGGAAGTTTGTGAGGGGAGTCGAATGTTCGCCTCCTAAAAAATTAGAGGTTTAAAAAGAATGAATCAAATTGAAACTAATGATACACTTTCACTTTCTATCCTACCATGCACAAATCATTTAACAACTCCGTCTCTCAGTTCTCCCTACATCAAACTTGGGTAATAATAGTAAGTGCGCCAGAGGAGGGTGTCATTTAAATAAATTAGCATATGCTGGGCACTGGGCACTCTGCTTCACACAGTAAGTCCTGAATGACCATTCTCCACCACGGTCCTGAAGTCAATACGAACTCACTGAGATCCTGTAAGACAGCACTGGCCCTTTGGGGTTTTGAGGTTATAAATCTTTACTGGAGTGGACAGGCCCATAGTTCTCCATGGCGTAAGCTGCTCAAAGTGTAACCCAAAGTCCTTCAATAAATTTATTAGTTATGATGACGATGATGATGCTATATCAAACTATCACCAGTGGATCACTAAGTAATACAAAGGAAAATTAAATTCAAGTTACCATCACTTCTTCTCCAGGTCCTTCAGTATTTGACACAATTAAATTTTGCTGGGCTACATCTTCTGGAAAGCATTTTTTTACTGTCCTCTTAGTAGTAACACAAAAACATGTAAACAGAATACCTAAAATATAAGAAAAGATTGAATTAAGATGGCTGCTTTTTTTCCCTTTTGCAGTAATACATTAAAGTGTTTGAATTGTGTGATTTTCTAAAGTTTCTCCAAAGGACTTTGTAAAACTGTTTTAATTAATTAAGAACACTTTAGGTCAATATTTTTTAAACGTAATATTATAAACTGTACAAAAATAGCAATCATCTCTGTTTTTGGTGAGATTGTGTCCCTAGGCTATGCAAATAATAAACCCATATAATGGAAGAAGGATGGAGTGAGCACAATTTATTGATAGCTTCCCTTCCCAGGTCCAGAATAAATTCATGTGCTTCTTTTATTTCCTCACATGGAAATAGTAACCTTCATTGTTGCAAGTTCAAGTTGTCAGGCAACCCTGTCCTGCATACATTTTAGCCCATGCTCTAATGCTCTAGTCCTGAGTAAGGCATGCTGCAAGCTGATATTAGTGATAGTTAAAATTATATCTCAAATGAAATAAAATAAAACTATATAGCACACACTTTAGTAGGTTTATAGCCACAAAAAATCATTATGCATAAATGCAAACAGGGACAACATTGTTTCCATAGAAAACAATATCCAGCGTAGAGAGTGTGCATCAATGACTGCAATGCTAAGGGGAACATCTAATTCATGTAGAAAGCTCAAATCAGTGAATTAAACAACAACTATCAGGCAAATCCACAGCCAACAAGACAGTTCTGATTCATAGTGACTCCATATAGGGTGTCTGAGACTGTACCTCTTTATGGGGCAAGCCAGTCTCATCTCCTGGGATAGCTGTTCCCTGGCTGAAAATGTTAACTTGGTGGTGGCAGCTCACCACTTACTTAGCAGCCCCACCAGGGCTCCTGCTAGGATACGGTAAAGACTATAGGTAACGTTTGGAAATGCAAATGCGTTCTATGGCATCAAATTATAAAAACTTCTCCAGCCATGCTTTCCATTTCTTTTGTAACAGCAAATGACAGTCCGCAGATGGAAGATCACAGTGACCTTTGCATGAATTATCTTTCAAAGTGGCCCAACAGACGGCCCTTTCCCAGTTTTCTTCTGGTTTAGTTAAACCGCTTTTTGTGTGTGTTCATTAAAACATTGAGGATAAGCCTCGAAGCAAATATAGGAGTTACTTAGTGACTCCTATTTTTTACTAATTTGGTTGTTGTTATTGTGAATCCCTACACAAACCTAGCTCATTGAAAAAATATATTTTATATGAGTGGTAACTTTTATGATATTTTCTCTACTTGTCATGTAGAAATAGGAACTCAAAGAAGAGCAAATGATTCAGCCAACATCTCAGAACTCATTAGTGGAAGAACGGAGGCAATAACAAAGTTCACTCTGTTTTCACTGGTATATGTGTTCCTGACTCCTTGACTCAGAAACCAAGTCACATCTTCCATGTTAGTAACTGTCATCAAATGAATTCTGACTCTTAATGACACTATAAAACAGAGCAGAACTGCCCCTGTGTGTTTCTGAGGCTGTAGAGCTTTAAGGGAATAGAAAGCATCATTTTTCTCCCGTGGAGTAGCTGGTGGATTTGAACTGCTGACCTTGTGGCTGGCAGCCCAACATGTCAGGGGTCCTTCCAATCACACAGTAGGTACAATATTCATTAGGTTTAAAAGCCGTAAATATCATTGATAAAAAGAATCAACCAAATTAAAAAAAATATATAGCTAAAAAATAAGTTCAGCAAATGCATTATAAATAAATAAACTTACATAACAACAATGCAGAACCCAGCACCATGGCAAGAATAGCCCATTTTCCAAGTATAACATTTGACATCTCAATGTCTCTCTCCTGTTTGTATCTCATTGTACATTCCGATGCTGTTGTGCAGTCACACACTCTTACAGATAAGACATGTTTTGCAGACAAACCATGTCTATCTTTTATTTGGATAGGCACAGAATAATAGTTATAACTAAGGGGATTGCGTTCACGAAGAATGGCAGTTTTGCCTAAAGAGAGAAAGACAGAATGAATGTATATTAATATGACCTTGCTTAAACAATTTTATTGGCATTTTATCCACATATCATATTGCTCAATAGTTCCACCATATCAAGACGAGCTGTACAATCTTTACCACAATCCATTCGGGAACATTTCTTTTTCCCTGTACTCTTTGTTATCCATCCATGTTATGCTTTTTTTTCATTTTTTCCAAAAATATTCACAACAAAGCATTATCAAATTCCACAACTTCTACATGTCTAGTTCAGTGCCATTGTTTATACTCTTTCTGTTGCACAACCACTACTGATATCCTCTCCGATGACTTTTCAGTTACAATATTATTTTTCCTTTGTAGTCTTGGGGGAGGGGAGTGGGGAGGAAACACTTAGAATGGAAGAAAATTATCTAATAGTGCATTTATGTCTTAAAAATGATACTGATTCCTTAGAAAAAATGATTTTGCTTGAAAGCTATTCTATACAAAGATTCATGTTTTCTTAAAAAATACTTCACATCTTAAGAGAAATATAATCATGATGATCAAAAACAAAGTTTTATCTTTTTCTCATTTTCTGTTCATTAAAATAATTTCCTCGATTGAGTCCTTATTTATTATAATGAACTAAGCTGAGAGTCAAGACCTGCAGTCCTCTCGAATCCCTATTGACTACAACACTTGGCTTCACTACATACCGTCTTTTGATTCCACCGTCCACAATTTACTGGCAGAATTATCTAAATGGAATTGAAACGGTGGCCCATTATCAGGCCCATCCAGATCAAAAGGCTCCAGGACAGCGAACTCTGTATCGTGGCGACAAATTGTCAGGTCTTTATTAATTTGTGGTGGGTGGTCATTTTCATCTTCCAAAAGAACTACCAGGGTTCCTGTGCAAGACCTTCCACCTGTGAAAGGAATAACAAATAGGTTATTCGTTCGATTAAATATCCTTCTGCTTTGATTAACGGATACCTGCTTTCTGCTAAATTCCTGAACTTGGATTGGCGCACACACTTGCTCTAACGGTTTCGCGACCAGAACAAAATAATGACGTCTCACTCTTCCCTGAAGATTGAGGGCTGGACCAGATGATCCATTTTTTTACCACCTGAAAGTATGAGGTTATCAGGAATTTCATTACAGAATCATCAGAAAGAAGCTAATCGCAGAAAGAAAATTAGTGCATAATCTCACTGTGTTAAACAGACCAGGCAGGTGTACAGAGATCAGCCTTTACGAGTGGTCGTCAGGGCTGGTAGGGAAGGGGAAAGGAATACCTGGGTTTGACTTGCCCAGACCGACTGTCCATGGGGACCGAAAAGCTGGGATGCTGCCTGGTGAGGGCTATCACATGACTGATGCAGTTGGTTTCTTTTCACAGTACTTTTGAAAAGTCTTGAATTGGCAAATGTGTTACCCATATTTTTCAACAATAATTTTAAAAAGAAACCTAATTTCTTACATGTTCTTTCTATATAAACAGCTTATACTTATCTATATATAGCCTACAATGATTCTACTTTCTCTCCATTACCATCACAACCCCTCCTGACCTTTTCCTTCACCTGCTCGTTACACCTGAAGCTAAAAATATTCCCTAAAATCTTCTTCCAATCAAGCAGAAGCTTAGCTTCACTAGTAAACAATGTTAGCTTGAAGCACTGTGCGTCAGAAAACCATCCGAGCGGGACCAAAGAGACAACAGCCATGGGAAAGAGGAGACCGGAAACCCAGGGAGCCGTGAGTTTATGTCAGTGTGGAGGCACAAATCCGAAAAGGAGGGTGGAAACAGCAACGTGGTTTGAAGACTGTAATCAGTGTCTCTGAGTTGCACATGCAGAAATCAATAGACTGCTGGATGCTCTGCTCTCTATATTCTCAACCACAGTAAATGGATTAAGGGGGGAAAGGCGTATTAGGAAATAAAGTGGTAGGTAACATTATAAAAAACAACAACCCACCCCACCCACCCCCCGCCCAATGAAACTCCTAAGCTCTCTTTTATGAGAGAGTTATCACTGCCAGGAATGTGTATCTCCTCCTCTCTGTCTGGCCAAACCTCCCAGAAGCTGCTCAAATGTGGCCTCCTCTTAAATATTGCTGCGACATCTACCAACAATTGAAGCCACTTTTCTCCTGTGGCCTCCCAGAACACGACTCATGCCTCGGCTCTCCTTCTAAGCCGTGCACATTGTAATAGCAGGATCTAAGTCATATCATCTTGAAAGGCTGGCAATATGCCTTGGAAGATTTAAAGCTTAATGGTAAGACATCGAATATAATACAAATATTATTTTGTACTTTGGAAAAGTTTGATTAAATAAACAAACAACTTTACTCACACCATACTGTCATTGAACTAATATGTTCTCAAAACATATCATATTACGCATCTCTACACTACCACTAGTATGGGTCTCACTCTTCACATGTAATTCTCAATAAACACTCTTAGTTAAAATAATGTCTCATTATTTGTATTTAGAGAGAATAAAATTTAGAAATTATGTTTGAATATGACCATTTGTGATAGGATAATAGACAAAAGTGCTATGACTTGAAATTAAAATAGATTGTTTTTCAAAGCTTTGAACACAGGTCTGAATTTGTAAATAGTTCGTCAAATTATCATAAAGACTGTTTTACGATCTATTAATAAACTATAGGCCACTATAATTACTTTTTCCGTCCTGCGAGAGGGAAACTTTGAGAATAACCAAAGTTGCATCAGCTAATAAACTTCAGGAATTGTGTTTTCTTTTGCCTAACCAAAAAAGAAAAAGGCATTTTCTCAAAACCCAAGCCCTCACGCACTGTCACTGAGTGGTTTCAGACTCGTGACGACCGCATAGGACAGAGCATAAATGCATCTGTGGGTTCCGAGGCTGTGAATCTTTACACGAACACCAAGTCTTCTTTCTTCTACGGAGCTGCTAGTGGATTTGAACTGCTAATCTCGTAGTTGGCACCCCATCAAGGAGCCCATTACACCACCAGGGCCCCTTTAAATGTGTTCAAAGTGACTTTTTTAATCAATTACTTATATTGATTTGTGTAAGCTCTTTAGAAATTATTCTATGGGAACAAGCTTAAAATATCTTGAAAGAAAAGCATGGCTCCTCTGAGGATAAATACATAATAGAAGAGAAAAGGGTGAGATTTCTAAAAATTTGTCCATAATTCTGAATACAACTCCAAACCCAGAAAACTAGTAGTGAATGAAATGAAAGTTTGATAGAGAAATTGAGTTATAGTCTCTATATATCAATTGGCATGTGTGCTCTGATTTTACTTTTTAAAATTGTAGTGAGGTCTTTTTCCCTAGGAAAACATTGAGAGAATTAAATATGCCATATATGTGGCTTATACATGGATATGTGACACACACACACACATATATAGCACATGTATGGCATCTATGATTTGATTAGCAATCAACATTTTAAGACATATATGAATTGAATATATGTGTATGAACATACAACATAATGGAAAAGTATTTATGAACATCAAAATGACATGCTCATGTGTAAATAGAAGGGATTATTAGGTATTTGGGTGCTAGAAGTTATTACTATGTATACTAATGGATAAAAATTCATTGAAATAAAATATTTATATCATATGGCCTTCCAAACAAATTTTCATGCCGTTATCTCTGTTTCTTCTTGAGCACACTAGTTACCCGTAACCTTGGGACATAGACTCATACGGGTCAGACTTTCGTTTTCTTTCCCTGTAGTATGACCATTGTACTGACACTGTCTTTTCGCACCAATACCAAACCTAAGCCCATTGCCATCAAGTTCGTCTGGGCTCACAGCGTTTCTGAGACTGTCAACCTTTTGGTTGTCCAAAGCTCTGGATAAGGCTTACAGCACACATTGTAAGCAGATAAATTTAGATTTCATTTCTTATGAAATAGTTGCTCAAAATGCATGCTCCTGTGGAGACTGTAAATGTTGACTGCGAAGTAGACTGCCTCCTTTCTTTCCTGCAGAGCAGTTGCTGGGTTTAAACCACAGGGCCACCAGGGCTCCTCGTGAGCACCCAAGGATATGTTCATTTATATTTTTATATTTTTGTACTCCATACTTTCCTTCTTACCAAATTGTATTTCATTTTCCTTGCATTAAGCCTCTGCATTTCTGTGAAAATTCTCTCTCTTTTAACCCAGGCAGCAACATACTCATCTCTACTTCTGAAGGTATCTATACATTAATTTTTAAGAGTAAGAAAATTTTCATACTATTAGAATCACTTATGAGACTACAGTATCCTTTCATATAACACGGAAATATCTAAACCCAAATAGATAATCATTAAACCATTACCATGAGAGAATTTAGCCTTGTCTTGTGATTCCTGGTTACCGTGGAAATTTGCCTAGTGCTTGGAATTTAAGAATTTTTAAAATAAGTGAATAAATATGTATCTTTGTTGACCACATAATTGTGTTCTTTGACCAATTTGGATTTACTTAAATTTATAGAAGAACAACAAATCGCCCTAGTAGTGATAAAATTAACATTTATCATCTGTGTTTCCCGTTCTTTAGCAAGTAGCTTTTACCCCTACCTTTTTGAAAGAGAGGAGCCCTGGTTAGGTAATGGGTTATGCACTGGGCTGCTGATTGCAAGATTGAAACCAGCAACCCCTCCAAGGGAGAAAGATGAGACTTTCAAATCCTGTAAAGATTTACAGTCTCGGAAACTCAAAGAGGCAGTTCTATCTGTCCTTAAGCTCGGTTATATGATGAGTGATTCAGTATCAGGATTGGAGGGAGGCTTATGAGCAACCTGTGATTTGCATATGACACAACCTTATTTCCTAAAAGTAAAGAGGGCTTGTAGCACTTGCTGATGAAGATGAGGATTGCAGCCTTTAATATTGATTTCAACTCAAAATAAAGAAAGCAAAAATCCTCATAACTGGATCAACAAGTGACATCATAATCAATTGTTGAAGGATTAAAGTTGTCAAGGATTTTGTCTTGGGTGGTTCCACAGTCAGTACCGTGAAAGCAAGAGTTAAGAGATCAAAGAATGAATTCCATTGGGCAAACCTACTGCACACAACCTCCTGAAAGTGTTCTAAAGCAAGAAGGTTACTTTCAATCACCTCATATGCATGTGAAAGTTGGACATACTGAGTAAGGAAGACAAAAAAACCCGCTGCATTCACATTATGGTACAGGTGAAGAAGCCTGAAATTACCAGGGACTGTCAAATGAACAAATAACGCTGTTTTGGAAGAAGTACTGCCTAAATGCTCCTTAGAGGAAAGGATTGTGACACTTCATCTCACATACTTTGAACGTGTGATAAGGAGGCAAGAGTCCCTGGAAAAGCACATCAGGCTTGGTGAAGTCACGGTGAAGTGAAAAAGAGTCCAGCCCTTGACACAATGGACGGACACCGTGGCTGCTACCGTGGCTCAAACACAAGAACAATGTGAGGATGGCACCGAGCAGGCAGTGCTTCGTTCTGTGGTGCACAGTCACTATGCGTTCCAAGCCCCTTGACAGCACCTAGCACCATAGGGTTGCTATGAGTCAGCATGGACTCAGTGTCAGTGAGCTGTTGGAGCTATTGCAAAAACTGCATTAAAAGCAGGTGGAACGTATCAAGAAGTAGGAAGGTCATTATACATGTAATAAAGTGATAATATTCACACCTAGGTTTACTCTCAGGAAGATTTGTATTTTGAAACCATATCATAATACATCAATTAATTTGCTTTGAACACTCAGAATATGTATATTCAAGCAGTGGAAAGTCCTTAAATTAAAGCATAGGCTTTGCCAGTAAAATCGATCTGATTATTGTTTTCCCTAAATGATTGTGTAATTACTTTGGGTAGTAGAATGATATATTGCACCTTTTATTTATATTTTGACCATACTCTATCAATATCTATTTTGTATAATCTTATGGCAAATATAGTGCACTAGCATAGTGGTATGGATGTTTAAATAGACATAATATTAAACGTATGGGGGCACATATTTAACTACGATTTACTGATGAGGCTGCATGCTCAAAGGGGTTTCCTGGTCATTTCTTCACGGCGATTGAAGGGCATTGCTTTGGGGTTTCTATTTAACCACATATGTTCTAGGATTCATTTGCAGGATTGTAGTACATAGTGAAAGCCTTGTTTAAGAGTTACATTTTGATCATTTCTTTAGGCCATGGGATCACTTTTTTTTAAGGTTGAGCGCAAACTTACCTTGAACACAATGAGGTGGGTGTGTTGCTCTGACTCAGCAAATCAAAATCATAATAATCTAAGCCTATGCTCCTGAAAAATCTGGGGATACTTGGGTATATCATTGAATTGCATTAACTTGTCACCTGGAAATAAGGAGATTTCCTTAAACCCTGTTCTGTAGAAAGTGAAAGAGGAAATGCCCTCCAAGACACCCAGGGAGGAGGAAGCGTTGTGGGCACAGAGAAGAAGATGCCAGTTGAATGCAGAAGTGTAGCCAAGGGAGGGGTGAGCCCCGCCATCCGACTCTACTTCATAGCTCATAGTAAAATATTGCCAGCATGAAAAAAATGCTATATTTACATTTTATTTTTAGAAAATGGTACTCACTTGCATCTCTTGCAATCACTGAAATATTGTATTGATCATTTTTTACAAATTTTGATTCTCTATCCAGTGTTTTTAGAGTTGTCAAGTCGCCTGATAATTCATTAATTTCAAACCAGTGATCTTCGTCTCCCATCTTCATATATCTAATTTTTAGAAATGAAGTGTAAATGATCAAGCCAAGGACAATCCAAAGGGCATAGTCTTTTTTTAAAACACAAACAAACATTGTTTTGAAAAACACACAGGGCTTGCCTAACTTTGAAATCAGGTTTACATTACACTTAAAAATAAGTGACATTTTGAGAAGTATAGTACCTTAAGCCTTCACTGCTGCGTGTTTCCGGATCCATTGCTTTGTAGCCATAAAGTTTTGACCCAGGTGCGAGGCTATCTTTAGTCTGAATCGTTTTTACTGGTGGCTGGCATTCGGGACCCTCGTCACTGTCTTTAATTTTAACAGTGACAGTTGTAGTACACATTGTAGGAGTCTGGGCGTTTGATGCTTTAGAGAATTGTGCTTCGTTTAGTACACCGACTTGCAAAATAACTTGTCGCTGAATTTCATAGTTCAATGGCTGTTCAATAAATATATTTTTATTAGTCTGTATACAACCGCCCTGCTCCAAACCCAAACCACTGCTGGTGAGTTGATTCTGAATAATAGAGATCCTATATAGGGAGGGTATCCAGTGTTAAATCTTGGGGGGAGCAGGGAAAATTGTCTTTCTTCCCAGGAGGAGCTGGTGAGTTTGAATCTCTGACCTCGGGGTTAGCAACTCAACTTTTACCCAACAGCACCATGAGACCTCTTCTCTGTCTGTCTATGTCATTATTTATAGAAGGTTTATATTTATAATGGGAAGTTTTAGCTCAAATGATAAAATTATTTTTACACATTAAATGCTAAGAAAATCTGGTGCTAATGTAATTAAAGTTTTTCTGGAATTAGAAACATGATTTAAAAATGATCGATTTTAACACTCAACCCATTTTTCTTCTCACTTTTATCTGAAAGAATCCTCCCTTCATTATTTTTCCTTCAATGTTAATAGAAATGCAAAATAAAAGTGACTACTAATCTTCATAATTTTATCATTTAACATGTGGGATAATAATGACAACCAAAAGAGCAAAAGTTCCTGCAAGTTAATTATGTAAAATCATTAGATAGCACATACAATATTTGGCCACAATAGTGCAGATTCTTAAGTATCTTGAGCCAACAAGTATAATAAACTTCATTTAGCAGCACCTATGAAACTTGTAAAGACTATCAATGGGTCAATTAAGATGTATAAAGATAACAAAAGACGGAGAAGCAAGAGAAAGAAATCTAGATGCACAATTATACAGTCGACAAATAAGTGTCAGTAGAAGAGTTAAAGAGCATCGTCCAAAACGGGTTGGGAAACACAACACAATGTCTGCAGCCAGCGTCTAAGAAAACACATAGCCTCTAAGTCATTAACGAGAGGAACGGGGAATCCATGAGCACAAGACTCATAAATGAATTATGTATCGCAAAAGAACCGTAATTCTTCTAATAAATAAAAATCCAAAGCACTGGCTTCCTCAAAACAGAGGGTAATTGATCTTAACCCTGGTTGAATATTTAACACAGGGGAGTCTATCTTAAAGAGACATTGCCAGCAAGTCAATTCCTGCTCATAGACATCCCTCAGGATAGAGTAGAGCCGCCTAGAGGGCTTCCCAGGCTGTAAATCTTGATTAAGGCAGACTGCCTCATCTTTCTCACTGGGAGCAGCTGGTGGGCTCGAGCTATCAAACTTTCTAGTTAGCAGTAGAATGCTTAACCATTGCACTACTAGGTCTTCCTAAGACATTAGCATAGATAGCGAATGTGAAAAAAGTTGAACAGTCAAGAGGTTTGATTTCGAAGAGTGATTCCTCCATTTCTCTACATTGTGTGTTCCCCGTTTATAAAACGAGAGTTTTAGAAATGTGACTGTCTAAGAAACTTGCTAAGGCTAACATGTGATCACTACTCTTCTCTCTCTGCCGTGGTTTTCCTCCCCATACAGCACGTTGGGTCTTGTATCTACCATGGCTTTCCCCTAAAAGAAGAAATGAAAGTAAAATAATAGGGAAACAAGTGTATGTGAATCAATGCAAATTCTTTCAGCAAGCTAGACTATAGTCTAGTCTACCAATGCCTAAACATACTAGATAGTCTTTAAAATATTGCTTTAATATCTTGCTTGTTTACCTTGACAACACACAAGACTGCTTCATTTGTCTTTGGATCTGTGGAAATTTTGAAGTTCCCATTTTCATTTCCTTGTAGGATCGTGTATACAGCCTTTGCGTGAGGAGTGTTGGGCAAATCCTTGTCAAACACGTTCATTCGTAAAATCTCAACATCAATTCTGTTTTCTTCTACTTCTGTAAAATACTAAAACAATGGTCTCCTATTACTATAAATTTTTAGGTTTAGAAATTTAATTTCTGCTCTGAAATTTGCATTTAAAGGGAAATTATGTAGAAATGTGCACACACCGTTAGGAAAATAATTTACAAATTTAATGGATGGCTCAACTCTTTCCACAATACACTGCTTTTTCCAATCTTACCCAGTCTTCAAAGACTAACCCAGCTTCTCTGAGACAAAATTCTGACCCTCACATTCATCCCTCAGACTTGTCTCTACTCTGAAGTCCTATAATATTTACAGTCTATCACTTCCTTTTGAAGCACAGGCATGGCTTAATCCATGGTTTATGTTATGATATTAAGCCCATTTCCATTGTTTCAATTCTGACCCTCCCCAGGGTTCCTAAGACTGTAAATCTTTATGGAAGTGGGCAGCCTCATTTTTCTCCCATGGAGCAGCTGGTAGGTTTGAAGCTCTGACCTTTTGCTTACCACACAGTGCCAACAAACCTTGGTTTCATTTGTTACTGGTAACTGATCACATCAGTATTTAAACATTGACTTTTGTTTAACTGGCAGGCAATGGAAAGTAAACATTTTCACTTTTTTTTGGATAAATTAAATCTCAGTTTTTCCCCCACCCCAAAATAAACAAACAAACAAAAACATGGCTACAGGGCTACTCCAAAAAGAAGCTGAATCTGTTAGGGGTAGGAAATAAATTTGTAGAAGGATGATAGCCATTGGATTTTAAGGAATCTAGATTTCATCCCGGTTTTTCTTTTCACATGATCTATTCAGAGAAATATTTTTCTCCTTATGTTATTTGTATGTGAAAGTCATACCAAAAAGTCATGATTTCATAGAGCTACCAAGTTCTTGATTTTAGTAAAATGTAAGTTCCTGGGTAGGGAAGTCTACTCACAGAATCCTCTGTGAAGTACGGTGAGTTGTCGTTTTCATCCAAAAGGGAAATAGTAATGGTTCCCGTGTTAAATAGGCCAAAAGGCTGGCCGCCCATGTCTCGAACTTCCATGATTAGCTGGTATGTATCACAATGCTGTGCGGAAAAGGTGACAGATGAACTGCTAAACACTTCCAGTTCTTATGACTTGCAATTCCTGTCACTACTGTGCTGACTCTGGTTATTTTGCAAACATTTCTTTTTATGATATGTTGAACAAAACCAAGCACCATAAATACAGAACAAGAGATTAAACCATCAAAATAAGGTGAAAAGTCAGTCTGTCTAATACAACATTTTAAGAGTTAAACTTATGTTAGCTTAAACACATCAAACCAGGACAATATTCGCAAGTGAGACCTCCTGTAATACCTTGTACCTTCCCAACATGTCTGGAGGTACCATAGCATTCTCTAGGTTCCAACATTAACCAAAGTCAACAAATAGAAAGACGTATGCTTGGAGAGCGGGGATCCCAGTGATTAGATTGTCACTTCACTTGACAGTTTACTATTGGTTTAAAAACAATTAGTGGTTGGGGAAGAAAATGACCCAAAGATTACTTCTCTGTCCAGTAAAGACGTAGTTGTTGTGATGATCCCCGTGTCTGGATGTATAGAGAAATGCCTCGGATGATCTGGGATTTGTTGTAAGATCTTGTATTTCAGACGAGTATGTAGGGTGTCAGGCTCATCATGGTCAATGGCAGTTACTTGTCCCACCGAAGTGCCTATTTAGATAAATCAATATCATAAGAAAAAATTTTAAACTAATGATATAAATGAATTACAAACACGAATAAAATCAAGACCCTGGTGCCTCTCCAAAAGTCACAAATAGCTTCGTTTTACAGACAAATCAGGGAACGTGAAAATGTTCTCTCAAACGTCTTTAACATTTTACCACAGGCCCCTAAGTTGACATTGAATTCTGGGGTTGATTCTCGCTTTTTGTATATGAGAAGGGTCTGTTTTTCCTGTGTCCCCACCTTGGTTCCCATACTCTTCCCCTCCACCCACTGACCTGACTCCTAGAAGCGTGTGGTGCAGAGTACAACTGCCCCGGTGGGTTTCTGAGGGCAGAAAGAATCATTTTTCTCCTCTAGAGTGGCTGGTGGTCTTGAACTGCTGACCTTGCCTCTAGGAGCTTACTGGGTGACTCTCTAGGCCGCCAGGGTTGCCAGGAGTCAGAAGCAACTTGATGTTAGTGGGTTCGGTATGGACCACTATTTCAGGTCACGGACAATGTTTGAGTAGTTCCTTCTCTATCTATCTTGTGCTTTTTATAGCCCACTTGATCATGTTCATTAGAAGAGGAGCACAGATTTGCATATGATGACAATGATTTTGCCTTTATTTTTAATAAGTCTGTTAATTTATCGGGATATGTATGTAATAGATACATAGTGTAATATCTCAGACACTGTTATGTGCCAGCCTACAGATTCCTTGTACATGCTTAATCGTCCCCAAATCAGAGTGCTGGAAATACTACTTTAGCAAAAACTTACTGTAGGGAGAGCAACATGTGACAACAGAATAGAAGAGACCATACGAATGTGCCATTTTGGGGATAATCAAAAGAACTAGATCACTGGAAAGGTTAGGTCAAAAGCTCATCAAATTAGTTTAAAATGTGTTTTTAGTTTTTGAGAGGCAATGTCAAACAAAACAACTCATATGTTGTATTAAATCCCATAAATATTTTTAAGCCATGATAGCATTCCGGTTCTTGAAAATGTATTAAACATTCTTTGCGAAGGCTCAAATTGTTTATCAGTTTACAAATTTGGTGTGAAACATTTTCACATAGCAAAAATCAAATGAACTGAAACAGCATTCTTCTCTCAGAACTTTTAGGTGCACTATTGAGTAACTTTATGTGAGCTGCCATCTACAAGTGCATAACAAAGTAAGCGTGCAGAGATTTGACTGGAAAATGCTTGATCTTGTAGGGCTGTAAAGGGTTACACGTTATTGTCAGTTGCCACGGAGTTGACTGCAACTCATGGGGACCCTGTGTGCGCAGAGTAGAACTGTGCTCTCTAGGGTTTCCCATGCTGCGACCTTTGGAAAGCACAGTACTAAGTCTTACTTTTAAGATGCTTCCAGTTGGCTTGAATAACCAACCATGTGGCTAGTAGTCCAACATTCAACCATTTGTGCTACCCAAGGATTCTTTCTTAATATGTTATATCTTTAAAAATCAAGCATTTAAAAATCCTTTACAAAATGGTGTTAATAATATTATTAAGGAAATCAATTGAAGCAAAAGTCTAGTGTTTCCCTAAAATTGTTATCACTGACTACAAGTTTAGTCAGAAAAGCAAATCGCTATTGGTTCTTCGATAAAGGGAACTCAGAGAAGCCGCACTGATGCCAGAACTCCACAGGTAGAGTCGAGAGTCTCAACACTCGAGGCCCAAGACTATCTATCTCTTTGAATTGCAAATGTGTATGAAGTAAAAATATTATTTGACACCCTATCATGTACTTTCATATATCCTTAATTGATATCACTTTCCTTTGGATTTTTCCTAAACTTAATCTTTCGAATGACCTTAGATAATAATAAAAAAAACAAATCAGCAAACTTTTAAAAATCGCTACAAAATGGTTCTTGGTCGATCCATGATCCCCCTTGCCATCGTCTCTGTTCTTTTCTAGCTCGTCCCTTTTATACTAAATAATTGATTTCCACAAGGGAACAACTGAATTGTCCTCCCTATACTACAGAGTCCTAGGTAGGTACATGCAAACCAGACACTGATTTCAAAACAGCGTCCCCTCCCCCCCGAAAGAACTGAGTCAAGTGAACAGTGCTAGTATTATATCAGGTTACAAAAGGGAAATACATAAAATCTTAACTTATAAATATGACTACATTTAGCAAAATTTTCTCTGAATATCATAAGACCCTTAATGTGGTATCCTGTAACATCAGTTTCTAAAGGGGAAGTAAGTACTTAATAAAAATATACCAAAATGCTCAGCATGTAATGGTACAATTGAAACACTCAAGTGCCCAATACCTCACAAATGTCCACTTACCAGCTCTGCAGTTTTCAGGCACACTAAAGGTCGTCAGCTTGGTTTCAAAATATGGGGCATTGTCATTATCATCCTCAATTACAATGACGATAGGGAGTGGGTATTCGGGTGCATACCCATCTGAGGTTGTTGCATAGCCATAGAGCTGAAAAGGAGAAAAACCTTCAGGAATGTGTCCTTGAATGACAAACTATTCACATATTTAAACCCGGCAACTCAGAGAAGATGCAAAATTATAAAAAGCTTCCATAGAGGTATCTGAAACTAAGAGAGTATGCAGTATAAGTTAGTGTACTTTCTCACCTACTAATAAAGTAGATATCACATGGGTATGGGTGATATATGTTACATGATATGATTTTAATCTTCTTTTCCATGTACATAATTTCTCATTATTCTCCCACCAAGCACACTGTGCTACTGTTGAGTGAAGCTATTCTATTGTCTAAATTAATTACATACTATTACATTCATTATAATACAGGTAGATCTCCCCCTGTTGTACTAATAAGAAGTATATAAAATAATATTCTATTTATTTATATGTATGCATGCACATATCATGACTATCTTGAATGATTGACCTGTGGATCCTTTTATCTATTTTACTGAATTCTGTCCTTTTCTGTGATAAACATATATTTCTTGTTAATAGTAAATTGAATAAAATCACATTGAAAGTTACATGTCAAATTCTTCCTCTTTCACAATGATGTATGTTGCCTTCAAATGTTATATTTAAAATCCTTTTTTGTTTCCAAATCTATCAAAATATTTTTTCACTCTTCTTGTATGGTTTGCGCATATGAAGTGTTGATTAATGGCTTTGAATTAAACAGATTTCTTCATTGTCAGGACAAACTGAAACTGAGAAAACTGAAGCCTGTAGTTCATTCAGTTCTTCGTTTACAGGCAGCTCCTTACAAGTTCTCTGTTATAACCATTCTTTTACACACGCATGCTCTTTAGAAGCAAGCGTGGGGAGATTGCAGCTTATTCGGTTTGGATAAGTCATCAGGAAAGACTAATCAGTGGAAAAAAACATCACCTTTGAAGGTGGAGAGAGTGAGCGGAGAGAGGAACCCCTCAATGGGAGGGACTGACACCGCTAGATCGTCAGTGGCCTCAAACACATAGCCATTATGAAGATGGCAGCGTTAATGTGCTATAAATAAGATTGCCGTAAGCCAGAATCCGCCTGCAAATAACTAAGAAGAATAACGATTGTTCCGCAAGTTCAATATTCCTATATCTGACTACTCACCCCCTGCGTGCGCCACCCCCGTCCCCATCCACACACTGCATTACCTTGCAGTGATCACGACATTTTATGTCTTAATCATCTATCTTGTCCTTTCTATTCCTACTGCCCTCACCTTCACTAAACTCCAAGGTTATCCTGCATGCTGGTCTGCTCATCTTCCTACCATTGCCCTGACGTTCTTGCTCAAACCGACCTCGCAATGAGGAGACAGGTTCATTTTCATTAAGGACAAATGTAATCGTGTTCTTGCCTAATTGAAATCTTCAGGGATCCCTCATCATCTACCAAAAATGCTCCCCCCTAAATCTCCAGTCACCGTTGTGTCTTACTGCTCGTACAAAGCTGGAGGGAAAGGGATGACCACTCTGCTGTCCTGGAGAGGAAACATCAATAACTGTCGCCGGTCTCTAACCCTCACGTCTTCTCCCTCAAACCGCCCGGAGGGGCACTTTTTCTGTGTTTTGAATTTCATCAATTGTACTACTCTATTTTATTTCTTAATAGGTTCCATCTTCATGAACAGCATTCAGAAGTGTATCCATAGCCAGCGCCACCCTCCTCCTCATCACGATCACCACCCTCAACACTTTCATTATCAACAGCACCACTGTCCTTATCACCATCATCACGTCGAGATGCTGTCGACATTATGCAGCCTTCCTACCAGCCCCCTTTTTTCTCCTCATACAGAAGTAGGAACCCTTCTTTCTTATAATCCAACAAAGGCTAACACTTCCATAATTTTGTTCAGTCAAGAATCTCAAAACGGCAGCAGTTTAAATTGTCCTCAGGACAGGGCCTTCAACTTAGTAATCCCAGAAATAACTAGCAGAGTGCCTTAAATTGAGTAAGCCTTCAATCAATATTTTTTTTATTTCTGTATTCAATTGCATCTATCTAATTCTATTAGGGGGAAAAATTACCCTGGAGTTTGTCTCCTGTAAAAAGTGTCATAACTATTCTACTGAATCACTTGTAATGCAGACATATTGGTGTAATGTCCGCATTAAAAATATCTCACTGTTATTGCGTCAATTCTGACTCATCCTGAGCCTGCATGGGCCCACTGAGGCTTTGTAAATCTCTGCAGGAGAAGACGGGTTCATCGTGCAATCAATGGTCGTAAACAGCATTTCAAACACCAAGCTTTTTCCTTCAGGTTATTCTGCCTTCTTGGCATTCTCTTACTGCCTGTGGTTTTCTGTCCAAATCGTACTTGTTGTTCAAGTACTAACTCCTATCTCATTCCATCCATACAGGCATACCTCACATGTAATTAAGACCTTCGCCCACTCTCGTTGCATAAACTTTATATGAAGCTGATACAAGACAATAGAGTGACCCACCGCATACATTGATCTGTACCACATGATAATGATTTATTCCTAATTTTTGACTAACTAGTTGACGAATTATTAGACAGAAGTATCTGTCTCATTCATCTTTGAATGTTACAATGCCTATTAGAACGATCATTCATCCGTGTTTGTTTAATAAAATCTGTAAACCAAAACCATATCCACCGCTGTCAAGTCAGTATCAACCGAGAGTGACCGGGTAGGCCAGAGCAGAATGGCTTCATGCAGTGCCTAAACTACAAAACTTTTCAGAAGCAGACTGATTCTTTCTCCAGTAGAGTGACTGATAGTTAGCAGTGGTACACTAAATACTACCAGGGCTCCTTAATAAACCTATAGCAATTAGTAGACAAGAATAATCGCAACAGAACAAACAGACATTACGAGAAGCAGCGAGCAGTTGTCAAATAGTAGTTCAAATGAGTTCTGTCTCATACTGAGAGAAATGTGTGCGGTAGACTGGTGAGAGGAGAGGACACTAAGACTAGGTAGGTATGACATGTGAATGAACCGACAATGTATAGATTTGGTGTCAGGAAAAGAAAATACGTGTTCAAAGATTATAACGATGTAGATGATATGAAGGAACCAATGTAATTTCTTTACATTCTCTAAGTCAACTTTAAAAGGTATGAATGATCACCCAAAACTCAAAAAGCCATGGTTGAAACTGCCACTTTTCAGAGACTAGCTTGGAACTATTGAAAACTTATGATACTGCCATTGCTTGAAAAATGTAAAAGGGGAGTTATGTCAACCCTGGAAAATTAGATGACTGCAATACAAGATAAATTTTCCAACTATTATAATGGTGATTCATTGAAAAATAAACAAACCTTCATCAGTCAAGACATGGAGCAAGAGAGTTAAAAGAAGCTTCAAGAATATGTATTTAATTAGACTTTTGGCTTTTATCTTTTATTCTTACTAACGTATGAAGTAAAATTATGTCCAATATCAATAATCCATTATTCCTACTTAACATTTATATATAATAGATGCAAATATTTTGAAAAATTTAAGCAAAACTCTAGTGACAAAATTTAGGCTCTTGGCAGTTGGGAGACTGAGACTTGGAAACTGACGTGAAAGACTTTTGAAAAGCTCTTGTCTGAGACCAAAAAAACAAGACCTACTAGTTTCCCTGGAAATGAGCTTTTCCGTATAGAACAATAAGTGAAATATAATTTGATAGAAAAGTAAAGACATTTCAATTTCCACTTCTACATCAACAAAGAAAGCTTCTACTTCATAGTACTTCGAGTGAGCTTATATTTGCATTATGCTCACATTTGGATCTTCTACTTTTATTTATGAATTGTACAAATTTGTAAATAAACTTTCTAAAGGCCAATTCAATCACAACCAGGTTAATGGGAACTAGAAAAATGTGGGTAATCCTGAAATGAAACTAACTCAAATTCCTAAGTGTGAACATACTTTTTTAAAAGTTTACTTATTGATCTTTTAGAAGATGGGAACACAAGCAGAAACACTTATTTTTAGTTTTAAACTCTTCTCTTTCCCTTTCTTTCAGCAACAATCATAGCAAGAAGCAAGCTGGAAGCAGGATGGCCTATGAGAAATAGCTAAAACCTTGCAAATTCACAAGCAGGTCCTTAGGACACGATCTTTCTTTCAGCGGGATAGGAAATTAAGCTCATCCCAGCATGCGGTGTAGACACCATACATAGCAAGCACTAGTGCTGGATCTTTCCGTCTAGGGAAAAGCTGAAGACAATTATATTCTGTGGGGCAGTTTTAAGTCCCTATAAAACACCAAACTTACTGTCATGGAGCCATTGCTGACTCGTAGTGACCCTCTCTGGGTTTCCAAAACTGTAACAGTTGAAGAAAGTAGAAAGCCCAGTCTGTCTCCCTCGGAGCTGCTGATGGTTTCAAACTGCTGACCATAAAGATCACAGTCCAATGCATAACCACTACACCACCAGAGCTCCTAATCACAAAGATGAACATTATCCTAATGGTGGATTACATATATCTCTTGTAAAAGCTCAGGCAAGCTATAATTTTTAAACTCACAGTCTGGTAAAACTATGAGCAATCAATGTCTGTTGTAGAAAAATTGGGAGGGAACATGGACTTTTAAAGAAAATGCCTTGCTGTCAACTCACCATTGTATAAGTTGATTATAAAAATCCCTAAAGTTTGACATACATGTTGCATCAGATGCTTCACTGTCATGTAGACTACTTTGATGGGAATTTTTAGGATAGGACCCCATCTCTTTGGTACAACACATCATATCTTTCTCTCTGGTCTTTACATACCTTTCCAGTCTTTTAATTCATACTCTTCATGAACTTCGGTCTACACTCCAGTTGGTGTATTTTTTTTAAGAAAAAACATTACAGCTTTATATCATTGCTGTCACTTCAAACACTTAGCTATCCACTTCAATCAACTCCTCCTCATTTTGCAGATGTCTGCTAAGACATCTCCGGGCTGCCCAAAGATGGACAAGGTTTACCTTTGATAGCCTTCTTCAGCAAAGAGCTTCTTTACTACCTGTTTTTAAAGCTAAAGGTAGTAAGTGTTTCATGAATTTTGTTCACCATCACCCTGGACATTGACCATAAAGTGTTCCGTACATCAGAGTCGCACGCAGAACACCCAGGAAATAAGTGAAGCTTGAAACAGAAAAAAAGGAGGGTTTAATTTTCAGAGTAGTTCGAATTTTCTTTTGATTGGAAAAATTAGAATTAAAGAAGTGAGTAAACAACTGTGGATTACAGAAGGAATAAAATGCTGCCAAAGGATCCCATTGCTGCAGGACACCCCTAGAGAAGGAAAAAGGAGAAAGAAACTCGTGCCACATAACTGTACAGAAACTCAAGCAGAAGACTAGACTCTGTACTTGGAATCACCTTGGACCATCAGGAAAAAAAGTCCTTGAACTCTAACCTAAAACAATTAAATGAGAATTTCTGAGCATGCGCCCAAAGATCAACATTCTTACAAAGTCCTCAGATGTGTTTTCATGCACAGTAAGGTTTGGGAATGATAGGCTATTTTATTACATGACATTTTGGACTATGAAAAATTATTTGTTTTTCTAGGGCTCTGTAGATTAACATCAGTTATCTAAAATTCTGTCATTATTTAAAATCATTCATTATTTCCTTTGCCATCTTCCCTCCTTCCTTACCCTTATAAAGCCCATCGTCATTCTTCATCAATGAAACAAATGCCACTTTGAAGCTTCTGTTATTAGCCAGTAATATTTAAGAGATTAAATAACATCATTGTTTACCTCATTATGCAAAGACACACCATTGGGCAAAATGTAAACTATTCATTAAAAAAACCTCTATTCTGAATAATGGTTTAATGATCCTACCGAAAACTTTTGATATTGCTCACGGTCGATGCTTCGCGTACAAAACATGTCCCCCGTGTCTCTGTCTATGTAGAACACGTTGAAGGGCTCTTTGTCCACTCCTGGTCCACTTATGGAGTAAAAGATGGTATAATTCTGTGCAGTATCAGACTGGATCTAAAATAAGTGAAAATTGAATATTACAAAAAAATAAAACCAAAGCCCAAACTCACTGGAATTCTGATATTCCAACTCATAGCGACCCCATAAAGCAGGGGGGAGCTGTCCGTGGGACTCTCTGAGATGAACTCCTTACCGGAGCAGAGAGCCTCCTCTTTCTCCCGAGAAAGTGTTGGACATTTTGAACCAACTATGGTTCTCAGCCAATCGCATATGTCATGATAAACACTTTAAACCGAAATTCTCTTCATGGTATTTTTTTAAATCACTTCTCTCCTTCTTCCTCATTTATTCTTTCTTTTTTAAAATAGCTACTTACCATCCCTCACTACATTCTGCAATGTGCAAAGTCACAAGCTGTCATTTCTTTGATTACAAATTTTTTTTGAATGACCTAAATATTTGTGGAAATTTTGTGGAGTTGATTATATATTTTTAATTTGCACCTACTTTTACTTCATTTTTTCAGTGATTGTGAACTATTTAGAATAAAACATTGTATTATATTAAAAAGTAGAAATAATGCAAGTAGTTTTTCAAGAATGTATCATTTCATAGTTGGACTATGTTTACATTCTGGCTATGTGATGGTGACATAATTTTATTCGGTAGTAAAATACTTATTCTCTTTTGGGAAAATAAACCACGCTTTAAGCAAGAGTTGAATTATGAAAACTGTCCAGAAATGCTCTGTTTGTGTGAGTGCTAAAGTCTGGCAGTGTGTTAGGAAGAATCTGGAGGCAGAACTTAGGGTATCAGAAACTCAAAGTATGAAAACATTTCTAAATGTTCAAATGTAATTTATGGAAGACAATGATAAAATGCACTGCTTTATTACATTATGACACAAAGTGGTCACTAGGATAATCATTATTAGTATCAATAGGCGAAAGCCCTGATTCGATATACTAGGCAATTCCAAATGGAAACTTTATCTCTATTCCATAAAAAATAAAAATGAGACAAGTTGATATTTACCTGTTGAATATGTAGTGGAAATGGACCTAATGAATTCTCCATTAGTGAACACGGAATAGGAGCCCATCGCCTCTTGCTACGCTTGAGGCCAGTGTCTTTAATATGTCTCTTCTTAGGAGCCTGTATTTTGTGCAGGATGACAAACACAGGATTGCTTATCATTCTAAACACTGTGCCTTTCACTTAAATCTTGACCTGGAGAGGTCAAGAGTCAGAGCACATCACAATATCATGGATAATCCCCAAATGATTTACATATTTTTACGACACACACGCACACGCACACATACACACAATCTCAGACTACCTTCTATCCTTCCAAAAACTCCTGGTGACTCACAGTGACTTTCCCTGTGAGTATCTGAGACTGTGTCTCTCTACAGGACACAGTCTTCTTTCTCCCTTAGAAAGGCTGAGAATTTTCCTCGCTGCCCTTGCAGTAAGCCTCCCCAGGCTTCCCCACTATGCCACCAGAGTGCCTTCTGCTATCTTACTTACGTCCTAGTTTAGTCAGCTATTCAGCCAGAACTTTAGGGTATTAGTAAAAAACACTATCTTAAGAAGCTTTAATAAAAACCAAACCTATTGAGTCAATTCTGGCTCATAGTGACTCCTTTGGGTTTCTAAGACTGTAAATATTTACAATAAGCCTCATCTGCTGACCTTATGGTTGGCGGCCCAATGTGGAACCCACTCTATCTCTTTTGAGAAGATTTAGACTCCCTAAAAATAGATTATCCATTAACTAATAGTTAAGAATTGATTTTGCTAACTGACCCATGGCTTGGGTCAAGAATACCTTAGTCCTGAAAATGATAAAAAATTCTCAAAACATTAGATAAAGCTACAGGTGTATGTATATGTATACAAAGACAAAAGTCAACAATTGTTCAAGTATATTTGACTTTTGTAATGCAGAGCTATTTTAACAATTTGGATATAAAGTGGTATATTGTATGCCTTAGTCATATCCCTAATTAGGTGAAGAAATTGTCTTGTAATCAAAAGTAATTTTGTTGGAAAATCCTTTTACAGGTTGAATCACTTATGAATAAAGGGTTTTATAAGATTAAAATTACTATGCTGAAGGTGTATAAAGTGAGCTTTCAGTAATCCTCTCGCCTCCCATCCCCCGACCAATCCAATCGCCCTTCTCACTGCAAGACAATGAGCCTTGTTGAGGACTTGCCACGCCTCCACTTAGAAGACAGAGAATCCATGGAAGTTTCCATTAACCTATGAGTAAGCCTGAGACAGTTCTTTCTGCTCCAAGCAAGACTCAACCCACAGTCAGTTGGGAGAAAGCCACTCAGGGTGGAGTGCCCATCTGTAGCCTGAATCAAATTTCACAGAGCTCCAGCCCCACCCTGCCTTGTATTTCAAATAGGTTGTCCTTACTGCGCCAAGCCTCAAGACATAATCGGGAAGCTTTGATATTCTTGGCTCTCTGGAAACCAAATTGTTGACTTTCATGAGTTTCCCAGATAACTCTGACACGTTCAAAGTGGGACAGATAAACGAGCATTCAAGAACACTGATTTTTAACATGGAAGGATGGACTTCGTGAACAAATTCATAGACCAAGCTACTTAAACCTTTGCCCCTTGTACCTTAGTTTCTCTTGCAGCCACTACGAGCTCTATCTCTATTTGCTCCTGTCTCTGGCTGTCTGAGAGCAAGATGAAAAAGCTCTTGCTTTTAGAAGGCAGAATGAGGTCATTGGTCGTGTATAAGGAACCATCTTCTAGTATTTTGAAGTCAGGATTACTTGACCGGAAGCTGGTGGCAGACTTGAGACATTCCTTCAGATTCACTGTGGGGGAAGGAATTTCACAGTCATGTATAAGATGAGACAGGAGTAGAACAGGTTTTTCAAGAATGACTACTGCTACTTAGTGCACAAGAAGCAGAAAGTGAGGTTGCCCTCCGGGTTTGCTGAGGACAGCCATTCGAAAAAGGGGAGACCGTGACAATGAAATGAAACGAATACTTCCATTACTTTTGTTAAAGGTTAAATTTATGATAAGATATAACATATTGTCTAGTGTCACTGAACTTACTCTGCTTCTACGTCGATTCTTATTTATTGCTTGTACACATACATACATGCTTGTATATGCAATTTTGCTGTTTTGCATCTTTCCTGGTAAAAATGTATGAAGTCTGTAGGCTTTGAACTTCTGTGCATTATTCTTTGGATATGTAAAACTGTCTTGTAACAAATAAGAAGACTAGTCTTTTCTTAAGTAATGCCTTTCAAGTATAGTAAGTAGATTGCAAAGAATCTGACTGTACTATCTTTGTTTTTTGGAGGTTTAATTACTCCAGAGCTTAATATGCCCTGTAGCTGGTATCAAAACAATTCCTTTATGGCATTTATTGTGTTTTTATAATGTTGACTTTCTATCTTTGACATGCCTCAAGGTGTAAGGGATAAATGAACACCACACAGAGCGCTACAAAACAATTTTATTTTGAAAAAGGGATCACTTCTACTCTCAAAGTGAATTACTGTAAATTGAGAACCAGTGAAATACGTTGGAGAAAGGAATGCTGCCTTTGGACTCAGAAGAACAAGCAACCCATCAGTCGAGGGCGATTACGGCCCTAAGAACCATCACTATTTCATTTGAATTTCTCATGTTATTCCGTGAAGTTGATCACATGTATATTGTTGTCAGGTCAGAGTAATTGTTCATGCTAATCGACCTCAGATGCAAGTTTTATTCAAAAGGATTTAGAATAAATAGGCAAATTAAAGTGTTGACATATATCCACTTTATCAATTAAGAAAACTGGATGTCAATCATTTAGAAGCAGTTTAGTTGCTATGGATTAAAAGATACTTCTGTTTAGGGTGCCTTGTTCTGTTTGTACTAAGCTAAAATAATTTATCCCTCTGTTGTTTACTAACTTTTTTTCTGGCAAGAAAAGCATACAGATCACTCTGGTGCTTTAATTGTTTCCAACCCCTACCAAAAACCAAGTAGTCCACTTTCCATTATGTGCTCGATTTTAATGCCAGAAATCTACCAAATCACTATTATCCCCCATTTTATAAGGTTAGCCTGAAGCCAAATGGTTGAAAGTACAACTCTGACCCTCTTATTAGAGTTTCTTACCTTGGCCTACGAGGGTTTCAGCCTGAAGGTGAGAAGGCACTCGAAGAGAAGTTTTCTTACAAGCATCACAAAGTAGTGTTAGGGCCTCAGAGGAAGAAGAAAAATCCTGGAGTTACATTCGATTACATTTTCACTCGACTGGTCTGTCTTATTCACTGAAAACCTATCAATTTCTGAAACAAATCATCTTTCACACCTCCAATTTTTAAAAATCCATTTAAAAAAGAAATGTGGCTCTCAGAGCACTAAATTCAAAGTGACTCTCAGAGCACTACAATCCTTTAGTTTCCATGAACAAAGTGGGCATGAACAGTAGCTCATAGGACTGGAGTCATACTGCATCATTTTAAGAAAATGTGCTATGAACTATTGATTTTATGCAAAGATTATCATCTCGAAGACCAAGTTTCATTTCTTTATTTTTAAATCAATTCCTAAATGCCACCCTGATGGTTAGCATGGAGGGGAAAAAGCACTTAGCACTTGATTCTGGAACACAATAACCATATGTTCATACTAATTTCAAATCATTATTTTCACAGCCCTTAACTAGTTCAGGGTATGGTGAGAAAGTCAAGGAAAATTTTAGGTTTTCTTTTAATCTCATTGAAAAACATTCTTCAGACTGGCCTGGCATAAACTTCAAAGTCTAAATTAAACAACTAGTCTAAATAGCAATATTCTACAAGATACAGGCAGTAATCTTCAAAAAGGATATACAGATCCACATGCAGACACACACACACATAAATGCAGATATACTTCACAAAGCTTATGGAAATTTATATTATCTTCTCATTTCCTTTTTCATGAAATTTTTAAAGCATATCTGTGTATGAATATATATGCTTGTGTATATATGCATACAAACACACACACATATGTGCATGTGTGCATAAAGATAGATATCAAATTCACTGCCATTGAGACAATTTTGGCTTACAAAGACCCTATAGGACACAGTAGAACCACTCCCTAGACTGTCCAAGGCTGTGATTTTTAAAAGGAGCCCAAAGCTTTGTTTTTCTGCCACCGAGCAGTTTGGGGTTTAAACTGTTGACCTTGCAGTTAGTAGCCCAGTGCGGAACTACAACAAAAATCCACACTCCCTGGCGTTGAATGGATCTGATTCCTAATGACTTCATCTTAAAGCCTCATCTTTCTCCTGCCGAAGGCTGACTCACCACTACTACATTTAGGTCCTTGTATACTTCCTATTGTCGGACCAACAATTGCTAAAAATCAATGTAGTTCAAAGAAGAAAATGGGTACTATCTGGAAAGTAAAATTAGGAAATGTCCATACATTCAAAACATATTTTCCTTATTTTCCTGACTTTTCATCATCTTTGCTTTCTCTTCTCTTTATCAGAATAACCGTGGTCTGTATTTAAATAAAAGTAAAGCTGAACTAAACATTTTAAGACGCACTCAACTTTCCCCTCAACTTCTCTAATTGAGGGCAAACTTCGAGATGTGAAATCCACACCTTCCAAGAGAGAAAAGAAGAGCTTAACACCTGTTTGGATACATTGTAAGAAGCTATAAAAACAGTTTGTGATTCTACAAAAACTCTTGGCTAGATAGATTCACCATCACACATGTTGAATTTAAAAGCGACATCTGTATTCAATTTTAATTTCAATAACAATAAACACGTTTGGTTCATCTTGTTTGTCATGTGTGTTCATTTCCAACAGCAATCCAAAACAGAGCCCATTGCGTTGATTCGGAATCACAGCCACCCTGTCGCACAGAGTGGCCAGGAATTCACTAAAATACATCTGAGGAAACTTGTAAGCAAAGCACACTCCTATTAGTGATGGTCTAAATATAAAATGTGGGCAGGGTATTTTTTAACTAGAAAAATCTACCTATATACACACACCGTAGATACTCGAGTATAAGCTGAGTTTTTCAGCACATTTTTAATGCAGTTTTTGTGGTAAAATGAGGTGCCTCGGCTGATATTCGGGTCGGCTTACACTCGAGTATATACGGTAAATAGTATAGTAAACCCAAACCCATTGTCTGTCATCAAGTCAATGCCAACTCATAGCAACCCTATAGTTCGATTCTGGGACTGTACATCTTAAAGGGAGCAGACAGCTTCATCTTTCTCCCTCAGTGATTGATGGGATTGAAGTGCTAACCCTTGCAGTCCAATAGTTCCGGCAGAGCCACACACACACACACACACACACACACAGCATTATTCTCATAGGACACATGCCACACTCCTGCTCCTCTTGTCATTTCCCAGCTTCTGTCCTGCTTGACCTAGAACGCCATCTGGCAGGCCGTGTCTCTGCAGCTAGTCATTGCAAGTTTCCACTGACCAGTATTCTATTTATCCGTGAAGTACTGACTTAGAGAAAGCAGAAGGGATGTGGGCCCGGCAAACTTTTAGCCACTATGTGGACAGGTAGTGGCTGGGCAGGGGTGAATCAAAGCACAGTGGAAGTGTTTTTAGTGGGTAAAACAAAGGACACCTGAATGAATCGTTGGAGAGCTTTTATGACGTTTCACCTAGCTAATGCTATTCAGTCTCTGAGCTCTCTTCACTCCAATCAGGTACAGCATGGGAACCCGACCATCTGCCCTGCAGTATGAATTATTAATCCGGTGAACATATGTACAGTAAGACTTCCAATTCTGAAAATACCATTTGAAGCCACACTATTATTAAAATTTTAAAATATTAACAATAATAAAGAAATTCCCAAGAATGGACAGAGGGACCAGAAATGTTAATATCCTGGTACATGGTTACAAACCCACTACAGTCCAACTGGACACCAAGCCAACGTTTTTATTGAATGACTGTCATATTTACACACCCATTTCCCTCAAGTTAAACTCCTCACTTGAATGAAGATGTCTGCCCTTCTCTTAGCGCTTCTTGGGTAAAATTAAGAAAGTACTGGATAATTCACTCTCCACCCAGAATCCTCTTCCTCTTCTGTCAGCTCTGTGGAGCTACCCATGCCAAGTAATCAGAGATGATTTAATGACTAGTAGCAAGAGCAAACCTCAGAACCTTCTGGGCCAAATGCCTGAGGAATGAATTATTCTGCTACTCCTTATAAAAACACACAGCAAGAACAAGGAATTCCCTTGGAGGACAGGGGGGGGCGGGTTAAGGGGCACTTGGTGAGTCTGTTAAACATCTCCCACACAAGTCTCTCAACTCCTCCTGGGATTTGTCTCCGCTCTGCTTTCATTTGCTCCGTCTAACAAACTTCTGAGCTTTTCACCCCACCCCCTGCTCTTTCAAGTCTAAACTAGAGGAAGGACACCCTGGGAACACGCTTGAATTCCCTAATCCTTTGTGTTGTTACTCACCAGGAGAGAGAAAAGGAGCTGCTTACAGAAGGTGCTCCCTGGGGCAGCGGAGGCCACAGCCATCAGAAGCGGTCCCAGTGACCAGGGAGGGTGACCGGATACTACTGCAGCCTGAGATGCACTGAGAGACCAAGCCAATGCCCCACAGCTGGCACGCGTGCAGGGTGTTCGGCTGCCTGCCCCCTTGGCCCAGAGGAGCTTGCTTGGAGAAGGGTCAGGAGGCCAATGATAAGAGGAACAGCAGCCTGAGAATCACTTCTCTCCCAGTCCCTGGTTGTCTTCCTGCTTCCCATTCAATTACCTCTTGTGAAGAGATTTTCCAACAAGTGGGGAGGGTGGGGTACAAAACACCCCAAAACCTAATCACTAGCTCCTCCTCAAAGCTTTCAAAATTTCTCCTGCCACTTGAGACATCAGTAGAAGAAGGAGGGAACACCCTCAATCCTTAGCCCTCCTCCCTTTCCCCCCCAGGTTGATGCTATGATGCTCTCCCCAGTTATTACCCACTCCCACGTCCTCCCCTCCTTCTTGGCCTTATTAACCTATTTTGCCCCCAGGTACAAACATAAATTGTGCACCAACTCCTTGCAAGCCAGTGAGGTTTGGAATCACCACCCTCCCTCTGTGCAGCTGTCATTGGCCAACCAGGGGACAGAAACACGTGTAATCAGATCCATCAGCAGTTATCTCTCTATCTCAGCATTTGGGTGTAGGCCGCCCCATGTAGCGCTCCAGCTCCCCGCAGAGCTGGCATTTCAATATAGAGCAGTGCCGCACATGTGCCGTCTGTCTATCCCTGCTATCAACTGTCCGTCTCAGCTATGGCACGAGGGAAATTACCCGAGTGCGAAGACCTCATCATGGTCAAATTCTATTTAAATGCGTGCCTGAACTGAGCAACGTAAATAAATAAATAAGTAAATCCTCGGGGTGTCCTCTTCTTGTAGGTATATTCTGGAATATCTTTATTCAAGGACGATATTCAAGGACAACGACTATCTATGGGATCACAGCTCCTCAAAATCATTACCTTCATCATAACTTGCAAGTCATATATCGCATACAAATGACCTTCGCGTGCAAAAACAACCATTCCATCAAGTTAGGGGTTCTTAAGACACGAATGAGCTGCACACAGGAACTTAATATTCTACATGAGAGAGAAGAAAAGTCAAAGTGGGACAGCGTGAGCTATTAGGAACTGTGATAAGTAGTTTTAGTTGTTGAATACAAAAGTGATTATCTGGAACGTAGCCCTCTACCTAGCTCACAGTAAAAAGTTAAAAACAAAAACACAAGGACTGGAGCATCATTTCTTCTGCCAAAATTCAGTGAGTGCAACAGTTGTCAATTGCACGCAATAACAATAATGGAAGTTAGGGGATCAACATACATATTTCCAAATGCTAATTGCTTAATGTGAGGTACTGAGAGGGAGCTAAAATTTATATTTACTGAGCCACTGTTATGAATCAAAACCTATGAGTGGTACATTGAATTACTTAATGGGGTTCTTTTAGCCATTCATGATTTTCTAATTTGCTTAAGATAATTGAATGAGATAATGCAAATTAAAGTGTTTGTGGCCCAACAAGGGAATTGGACACTGTGCTAAGAATGCCAATAAGAAAGTATGAGGGACTATGGAGGGATGTGACCATGCAATTAAGGTGTATGGGAAACGAATGCAGGGACTGGTCCGCTTTGGCAAGGACCTTACTACCATCAAGGACGAAGAGGC